GGGGGGGGGGGGGGGGGGGGGGGGGGGGGATATGGGGGAATGTTCCCTGTGATAATAATACCCAGTGTTCAGTTCTATGACCCCCCCACCTCCTTGGGGTTAACGGCACGGCAGGGGACCTCCCTAGTATCAGGATCCATGCCAGCTTCACGTTTTTGCTTAGTGCCTCGAGTTTCAGCTTCTGGGGGAACATTCTGAGCCTTGAACTTGCGGCCTGCAAAAACGTTTCTCTGAAATGTCACTGAAACACATGGTGTCCTCCATTTCTGTGTTTTCTTTCTTCTGACAGCTTGTTAAAATACCACAAAAAGGTAAAGGTTACGATGTCTGTAACACTGTATAGTCACAGCACGGTGAAACTGTTACATCACGGAAACAAAACCCACAAAATTAAGTACATGTCCTACGTACATTTTAATATTCTTTCATACATTTGGTTTATCTGTGGAAATGTTCATAATTTCACCTCTGTGAAACTGCCCCCCTGTGCAGATTGTACTGCGAAGCCCAGAGATGCATGTCCAGCTGTTGCAGGCTTGGGGGGCTTAGATGCAGTGCGGTTTGTGAGGATTTTTTTTCTCTACAGGCATGTGAGAAACTGTGCAAAAACAAAATGTCGATATTTTGTGAAGCATTGTCATGCTGGCAGAATGTTGCGTATACATATGTGTATCGCACTGTATTGCTGCTTCTGCCTGCTACTTAAATGATGAAGGATCTTTGGCAAGAGGGGAGTTTGGGTAATAATGAGCCTGATCTCAGTGTGTGGGCACGTGTCGGCTCTAATGTGGAAAGCAACCTCGATTGTAAGGTTTCCCATTCTCTGCACGCCTTCCTGATGCCTTTGTGCTTCAATACACATGCTGAGAAAAGTGGCTGCATGACACATTAACTTCTACTCTATTGGCATTTCAGATGACAGCGAAGATGCGACAGTGAACAGAATTTCGTAAGTGAATCATAAACCCGTCCTCAAATGTTACCCTTTGTATTGCCAGCGGCCAGAAGTTCTGCCAAATTGTTCTGGCATATTCCAGAATGACAGTGAGGTGGTATCCTTGACTGTATAAACAGTGCACTGAATTTCTATAGTCTGTTTGTGGCGCGGTTTCCACGGCGATCTAATCCCGGTGCAGGTGTGTCTCTGTGGTTTCCTGTCGGTCTTCCCTCCAGTCAGGTCCCCTTTACTGTTTCTAAGAGGCATGCACTGCAGGAAAATGGTCATGCAGACCTGTTTTTTTTGTATTTATATCATTATAAATAACTTAATAAATAACCCTTCCTATTTGGCACTATATGTATGTTCATCCATGCAATCTGTTCTTGCTGCTGTATGCACCAGAGTTTCCCCCTGGGATCAGTAAAATCCATTAGATTAAGATAAACAGCAGGTATATGCTGAATTTACACCTCGTCCAGGCGGCCAGTAGGGGGCGCGTCCAGGCGGCCAGTAGGGGGCGCGTCCAGGCGGCCAGTAGGGGGCGCGTCCAGGCGGCCAGTAGGGGGCGCGTCCAGGCGGCCAGTAGGGGGCGCGTCCAGGCGGCCAGTAGGGGGCGCGGCCAGTAGGGAGCACATCCAGGCTCCTACTAGCTGTGCCTCCTGCTGACTGTTTATATGATGACTGCATGCTGGAGATCTCCCCAGCGGAATGGTTGTGGTGGCAAGGGCCCCAGCGAAGCTGCAATGCTGATCAACATCAGCAAGTTCTCTGGCTTCATTCCACTTGCACTACCTAGACCACGGGTCGCCAACTGCAGTCCTAGAGAGCTACCGTCCAGTAGGTTTTCTATCATACCCGGCTTCTGATGAGCCACACCTGTTCTCAGGTAAATACCAGGAGCAGGTGTGGCTCATCAAAAGCCGGGTTATGACAGAAAACCTACTGGATAGTGGCTCTCCAGGACCGGAGTTGGAGACCCCTGACCTAGACGGTGTTAACAGGAAAGTTCCTAAATAGCACATTTGAAAAATGAGATTTGCGTCTGTTACCGTGCCGTCTTTCTGTGACCATCCTGAGCTAAAACTGTGTAAAAGCTCTGTACACTCTAAGCACACTGAAATCCTGATTCAAGCAGGGAGCTTAAACTATACTGCACATGTCATAAGATCAGTGTCGGGGAAGTTACTCACAAAAGTAATCCATTACAGACTGAGGTGGAAATGTCCGGTCCAGAAAGTACAATTCCAGACCAAGGTTTTGTTTCAGCCATCCAGTTGAGTATAAAGAGTCACAGTCACAAAGTATTAAGCTGGCTGGTTGAAACAAAACCTTGGTCTGGATTTGTACTTTCTGGAATTTCCACCTCTGTCTCTAATGGATTACTTTTGTGCGTAACTTCCCTAACACTGGATATGATATATTGTTGTAAGACAGCTGGGTGGTAGCAACAATTTGAAGTCTTTGATTATAGGGGTCCATTTTTGTAGGAGCAATTCTACAGAAAGCATGGTAATAAAAGCCAGTGTGACCAGCTTCATGCTTTATTATCGTCGAGGTTCAATGCAGGCTCTCCTCCTGCCTCCAGGCTGTGGCTGTGCACCTTCTCCCTCTCCGTGTCAGTGGGCGCCGTCCTCCTGCTGCCCCTCTCCATCCTGTCCAATGAGGTCTTGCTGTTTGTCCCTGACAGCTACTACATACAGTGGCTCAATGGCTCCCTTGTGCATGGTAAGCTCATCTGCCCTCCCAGCAATGGTGCCACCATTTGCCCCCTGCCCCCCCCCCCCCTTACAGAAGATGGCACCCTGGGTAACTGCCCATTTTGCCAGGATCCACCACCGCCTTCCAGATCACTGCCTGCCGTTTTGCGTCACTGCTCTGTCATACAAATATCACGACTGACGTATTGCATTCTCTCGTCGTCTCTGTCAGTCTCTCTCAAGATTTTGAATACCAAGCCACACAACAGAAGGCTCAACTTGCAAATGCTTAAGATATTTGAAATATTTTAAACCTTTGACATACAGATTCTTCGATAAGGACCGATTTTTACATTTAAATTTTATCATTAGGTTTTTGTCAGGAGTAGTTCTCCATCTTGTTTATGTTATTTTCATTATGATCTGCTCCACGTTTTTTGGAGAGGTGTTTAGTTAGCTGAATGTTCAGTGAGGTTTTGCTGGCTGTTTCAGCCTCCTTTCATCTTACAGCACAGTAGGTTTCAACATTTCTTTCCTATTGTGTAAACATTCACACCCCAATAACCTGTTTCTCTCGTTCCACTGACAAACACCAAACCATAAGTTGGCTGGAATCTTCCATTATAGCCTCCTCAGGTACAGGAGGTCGACAAAATCATATTTATTCTTATTTCTTTTTTGATATACTTTTGTTTATTAACAGAAAATAATTTGCTCAGATGGCTTCTCTCTCTGGTGGAGGAACTGTGAAACTACTGCTGCCGTCTCCAGTCTACAAATCATACATATCGTGCCATTTTATGCCCCAAACCAACAACACTTCTCTTGTCTATTATGTTGTGATAGCAATGTAATATGTGGGTTTTGAAATGTAAATGTTCTTTGTGAACCTACTATTACGTTCTACAGGACTGTGGAATCTCATCTTCCTCTTCTCCAACCTCTCCCTGGTGTTCCTCCTGCCCTTCGCCTACTTCTTCACCGAGTCCGAAGGATTTGTAGGCTCCAAGAAGGTACTTTGTAAATGCCTGGAATTACAGGTTATTTTAGTCTTTCTCAAAGTCCTCTGTCATGCTGTGCTATGTAATTCAGGATATCTTTTCATAATAGCTGACTAAATACATTGGCACTGGTGACCAGTCATTCATACCAACATGTAGATTTTTGTGGTTTCATGAGCAGATATAGGTTTTAGTTGTCCAGTTGGTGAGTAGGATGGGGTCTTGGACAAAGCAGCTAAGGTGACCTTCTTGAGGCGTCCGTGAAAGTTCACACATGCTGCTGTACTGGCATTTGACCACTAAACACGGCCGAGCTGCGGCCTAACCGGGGTCCTGACCGTGACACACGCAGGGCGTGATGGGCCGTGTCTATGAGAGCGCCGTGGTGCTCCTGCTTCTCAGCCTGCTGGTCCTGGGTATGCTGTGGCTGGCGTCTGCTCTCACCCACCACGACGTGGCCAGGGAGAGCCTCAATGGTGAGCGTCAGTCCTCTCTATCCTCAGCACGTAGAGTCCTTTAAATCTCCCCACTGTTGAGCCTCTGGTTAACCTGGCTGCGTTACTAGCTGCCTGCTTTCTCCCTGTGCAGCGAACTTTCTGGTCAGAATAACGATTCTATTAACTGCCAAATACAGTGCGTGCGTGTGTGTAATATAACGTAGTTATGACGCTTTTGTCCCTGTTCGATTGTTTCTCTCACAGACCTGTGGGAACGCTACCTGCCCTACCTGTACTCCTGCATATCCCTGTTCGGAGTCCTGCTGCTGTTGCGTGAGTACATTCGCACTGCCTCTCCATTTCATCCTCATTGTAGCCATTCTGATTCTGTAGCAGCCTCTGGTGTCCACAGCCACCCTTAAGCCGTAATGTTTTCACGAGGGTGTGCACCGCTCTGTCCTTCCCGCAGAGGTGAGCGCTCGTGTCCACTAGGTGCTGGAAGAGCGCAGGAGACGCTTATTCAAAGACTGGGCCCAATCCGTCATGATGAAACGAGCAGTTCTGCTGTATAGTGTAGTGGATGGATCAGAGTTTAGCTTTAAATTTAAAAATAGTCATTTATGTATGTGCAAAAGTCCCCCTTTTCAGATGATTTTTTTTCCCACAGCATAGTGCCCAGGTCACATTAATGGCACTGTTACATTTTCACTTCATTGTAATTAACATGGCTTCTTGATGGTTAGCATTGCTGTGTATGAAGTTGGCTAGTGATGGTTGAGCTGCCGCTTGTCTCTCTGCATCGCCTGCAGTGTGCACGCCCTTCGGGCTGTCCCGGGTCTTCATCGTCACAGAGAGCGTCCTGGTGAAGCCCCGGGTGAGTGCCGGCGCGAGCTGCAGTGGGTCTGTCTGACACTCCTGTCGCACCGACATTCTCAGAGAACATGTCCTGTTCACTGCCCCCCTTCCAGCTGCTGGAGAACATTGACGAGACTGCAAGCTGCGTGGCGTTTGAGGAAGCCTGTCTTTCCAAGAAGCTGGCAGGTTAGTGGTCTGGTGTCCAAGAAGAGAAAGAGATGAACCCTGGGTTTGAGCCAGCTGTCTGTTAGGAGCCACTGTCTTGTTTCCATCAGGCAAATCTTCTTGCTGGATCAGCGTCAACCTGGATATCCTCAAGAATCAGTTTCTCTCCATACAAGCCAGGCGGGTGTCTCTAGGTAAGACAGACCATTCAGGGGCTCCACAGAAGGGCTGTGGAAGCCCTTGATAAAAGCCTGGAGTGAATGTGCCGTCATCTTTTTCCCTGTTTTTGCTCAGAGCTGAAGAGGAATGCATCTCCCTGGCAGCGGAACGTGGGCTACCCACTGACCTTGCTGCTCCTGCTGGGACTGACGGTGAGGCTGGCTGATCCCCCCAGGCAGCTTGACATGACATCAGAGGAAGCTTCCGTAGATGTTTGTATGACTAGGCAGCTGATCAGGGGCATGTGATCCAGTCTGTCTGGTAACTAACAGTCCACTTGTATAAAACGGGTTACTCGATTTATGAAGTAAATATGCTCATGAGATGTACCTCTACAGATCGGTGCTTCTCGAAGCAGTCCTCAGGGACATGGTGCAAATTTATGCAAGTTTATGCTCTCTCCCGGTTCCTTGGAATTTGTGAGGGAGCAATAACATGGACCGTCTAGGGGTCCTCGAGGACTGGTGTGCAAAACACTGCTATCGATGACACGGTTCAACCTTGGTTGGTGCAAAAGCAGGAAGACGGAAACGGACACGAGCTTTAGTGTCGGTCCTCCATCACCCTGCACCCTCTCTCCCTCAGGTACTCTGTGTTCTGATAGTTAGCTTCCATGTGCTGGAGCTGCTTTTCGACGATACTGCCATGCCCCGAGGAATGGAGGTGAGGAACAACCCGCCACCTTCTCTGTGGACGCGTCTGGGTTACCTGTGGGAGGAAACTGCCCCTCATTAATATCTTTGCCCCCTCCCTTCTCCACCAGGACCCCCTCTTAGGAGCGGCCTCGTTCTCCATGTTTGGCTCGTTCGGTGCCGCTGTGCAGGTCATCCTTATCCTGTATCCTTTCTCACTTGCGTCAGCCCCTCACATAGGGGACCTTGGCCGTTACTGTAGTACTGGGTGGGACGATATATGGCTCTGTGGGTTGGAGCCCTGTGCCAGTGACCTTGAACAAGGCCCTAACCCCAGTCGCTCATCTGCCAGATGTAGCTCAGTGTGCTCTGCAGTCCTGCAGTCACTGCGCTGCAGTGTCTCTTCCTTATCGAGGCTTTTCAGATACCTGATGGCATCGTCGGTGGTAGGCTTCTACAGCCTGCCCCTCTTCACCAGCCTGCTGCCCCGTGTTCAAGACACCACCCTGACGCAGGCATGTCGGGGAGCCCCCACCCCCCTACATTTGTGCATCAGTCAGCCAATTTCTACAGCACCTGTGGTCCAGCTGAATGCTAACCTCTCTCTGTCCTCAGATCATTGGGAACTGCGTGTCCTTGCTTATGCTCAGCTCCGCTTTGCCGGTCTTCTCCCGCACCCTGGGTAAGCCGGTGCAGCAGTTCAGTGAAAAACCAGCATTCGCTCCAGTGCTGTACTGGTGTACACTACCAGTCAAAAGTTTTTGCAGACACTGAGATTCCAACATTTGCATGTTACTCACTTAACATGTACTAAAAATAGACTCAGTATTCTTTGCTGACAAATTTACTGTGTTCACCATTTGAGTACCTTTATTAGCAGGAAAATGCCATATCTTTGATTCATCAAAGTAACCTCCTCTAGCAGTTATAACAGCAGAGAAAATTTGAGGCATCCTTTCTACAAGGAGCATTAAATACTGCTCTGTTTCATGGGATGAAACGGTTAACTAGTACATTTAAAGTTAAAGGACAGCTTAGAATTTAACTATGGCATCATCGCACAACCAGTTAATAGGATGTCAGACATGCACCGTTACATACTCTGTCCGTGTTATAAAGGAAACTTGTTTTATTTGACTTGTATTTTCTTTTTGAAATTTGTTCACTCAACTTTACAATGCTTAACAAGAATAAAAAAAATCTGCAGTTCATGAAATAAATGGAAAAGTGATAAAAACCAGTAGCTGCAAAAACTTTTGACTGGTAGTGTATATAGGGGTTAGGTAATGAATTTGGTATATGCTGGTCTATTGCTATTCTGCAGTGAATGATGTGTTTGAGAATGGTACAGTAGCTTGGATATTAATGCCTAGTCCATATTGTCACTATCCAATAAATTCGGGGTATGGTCACTTTTTGGCAGTTGTGACGTTTTACTACAGTTGGAATGCGCTCTGTCTACTGATAGCATTTGACATCTAATTGACCAATGAAAAGATTTTTTGTGAAGTGTCTAGTATTTATTTTGTACCACTTAACATTTTTTATTTATGATGGGCATTTGTATGGATTATTTCATATTTCAAATTTTAAAAATGTTTTTAGCTAGCTAGCTAGCTAATATTGTTGTTTATCAAAGATCATTTAAAACATTAAACCATTCATTGACGGCTGTGTAAAGATAGGTTTCTGTTTGTGGTGCTAAGGGTGTCTCATTGCATTGTTTTAGGTTTATTTTGTAGAGCAGTTTCTGAGAAAAAGATTGTTTTTCATGTTCCTGAAATAATGGACGCTTGGAGATTCATGTTTTTCACAGGACAGTCATGATGTTAAATGTTCTGAAATAATTTCAGCCAGTGAGGATGGGTGGAAGGATTTAACACTCTGGTCTTCCCATGTCAGGAATCACGCATTTTGACCTGCCAGGGGACTTCGGACGGTATGATTGGCTGGGCAACTTCTACATCATCTTCTTGTACAACATGCTGTTCGCAGGGCTGACGTCAGCCTGCCTCATGAGGTCCATCACGCGGGCTATGCAGCGGGAACTCATCTGCGCTGTGGGTGAGCATCGTTTCATGGGCACAGAGTTGTCAGTACACTTCATCGTTAAGGGAGCAGGGTTGTGTTACGTTAGACCGCAATAGCTGGCCCTGGGGTGGGAAACATACTATCATAATACAGGAGCTCATAAAGTAAACATTTTCATTCAATTATGTCATATGTTCTGGTGCTGCTCCTTCCCCCCACTTTGATTTCCTGAGTCTCCCTACGATGCACCTCCTCTTACCACCTCTTAACCCCTCTTTCTCTTCTTCTCAGGGCTACACAGGCTACCTTTGACAATGTCTCGTCCTAAAGTCCCCTTCAAGATACTGACTCATGGACTTTCAAAAATCCAGTGACACGTCACTGACCTTCACACCCATGTCTCACTGCACGCCTTTCACTTTCTGGACTTTGTTTGTTTGTTTTGTTTTTTTTTTTACCTCCCGTTGACAACATCCATCTAACTTGGACAGCGTCTCTTAGGCAGAATGAACGTTAATCATTCTGCCACCACAGCTGTAACAATTATGGAGCTCATTAAGCAGTGACGTTAAACCAGACTTATGAGATGGAGGAGCAGATGGACAGTGCAGACCTAGGACAGGGACCAAGTATATCTGCTTCCTCACATCACAACGGATTATTTGAAAGATGGGTGGAATCAAAGGAAACTATTGTACAATATTGAATATTTAGTGTAGTGAAGCTTGTTTGATCGGTGGTACACTTAATGCATTGTAACAATACTTTTGTCGTTCGGTATATTAGGGATTACCCAATATATATTATATTATTGTTACCCAAAGTTCCTTCCTCTCTGAATGGATTCTTTTGACCTTGGTAAGAAGCCAGTGTTGCACCACCTCCATCAGTTTTCCATGGCCTTTCCAGACCAGGGCTTCCCCCATCCTTTCATCACCTGGATACAATTTGATGTCATTGCCATTTTTGGTGTTTAAAATGTGTGCTAATTTTACTCTTGTAGGAATCATTTCAGGCTTCTTTCTGCTGCTGTGCCTGTTGAATAACTCAGACCTGAAGCGTCTTAGGGTTCATCCTGTCTAGTACTTTGGTCTTTCTCTATAAACTTGTGAGTGTTTATCAAAATATTTCAATTATCCTCGTCTGTAATGTGCAGTGTTATAATGCTGGGATGTGTACCATGCTCTTAAACCACTGTTAGAAACCTCACATTTTGAAATTTCCAATCTTCTGTGACCATTTATTCTGTGGTATTCTTATGCGCCTCAGTAGCGGGGCACTAAAATGCTGTAAAACCAGATCGGTACAAGGCAGCTTGGCTTTCCCGGGTCTGTCCTATGCACACGTTTTATGCACTTTGGGTGTTTGAAATTTGTTTGCGCAATGAAATTTGACTTTTGTATTAACTGTGAAAAAGAGATCCTAATTAGCTTTTTGACTGCTGTGATGAGGGGGGAAATGCTAGTTTAGTGTAAACAAAAAACTGGAATCTGTGAAGGGAAAAAATATAATGCCATAATATCCAAAAGCCATTTTGCAAAGTAACTAAAATTCTCAATATTGGAACAGCAGTAAAAAAAAATGTAATAACAGGTATAAAATTGTCATCCTTTTGTTTATATTTGTACAGTGTTAGCTTTGCTTTTAAACTGTGAATAAAATATGAAAATTGTGTACCTTTATTTAATAAAAACGTATTTTTTTCAAAACTTCCCGATGTCTGATCCTTCTCTGGTTTTTTTTTTATTAATACGTGAACCGAAACCGTCGTTCTTCTTTCTGTCTACTGCCATCTCTCTGCAGCAGCAGGACCGCACGTTAATTACGAAATCTTTCCTTTTAATCACACGTAAGATGTGACGTTTATGGTCACATGAACAGGGTAAGATGGCGCTCTTCATTCCGGACTCGTTAACATGTTAGCCTTGTGCGTCTGCACTTTTACGACGGCGTTCCTTCCTCTAAGCAGTTTACGGCAGTACGACTCTATAGGGCCATCGTCGTTTGGAACTGGCCGTTTCACTTTTTTTTGGTTTTCTTGGTTTGATCGCGTTTGAAAGCGCTAACCGAGGTTACGAACAAATCCCGAGGCGGATAGTGATATTTACGAGTGACAGTGTAGACTTTTATTGACGGCGCGGAGCCACCGGGGGGAAACGATCTTCGGCGGCTTTGAGAGAGAAAAAAAGTTTGTTGTTGTCACGTGACACGAGACGAATGTGGCGATAAAACTTTTTCTTTTCAAAAATTTAAGCCTTACATTTTGTTTTATTAAATATTTATTTGAGCTGATAGACTTTTAAAGCCATGCCTCAGCCCAAGTACCGAAAGATTGCCGTGTTGGGGTACAGATCTGTGGGTGAGTAGAAGCCCGCCTATTGTTAGGTTGTTCAGCGGGGTTAACTAGTTGGCTTACGCCTGGTTGGCTAATATCCCCCCTGGGAAATCAAAATCTCGATTTAGGCTACTCTGTGATTAGTTCGTTAAGTCCACGTACCGGTCCGAATACGTTTCATGCGTGGTTGATACAAGATTACCGTCAACTAAAATGAGCAAACTGAAATGAAAATATGTATTATTTGAAATGGAAAACGAGATTGAATCCACAAAACGAAACTTCTAGGGTTTTTTTTTAACAAACTGCAAAGTACTACTTTAGTTTAGTGTTATAAGGCATGGTAATATTCGTGTCTAGTCCAGTAGGGAACATTGTCTATATATTTTGTGATCAGTGTGTGTGTGTGTGTGTGTGTGTGTGTGTGTGTGTGTGTATATATATATATATGTGTGTGTATATATATATATATATATATATATATATATATATATATATATATATAT